GCCCCTGATCTGTGCCAGGCCCAGGGTGCTGAAGATACAAGAATGATCAAAATGGCTGTGCCCTCATGAGCTTCTGGTGTGGCAACTAGTCACCAGCTAGTTGCACAGATGGTAACGGCTGACCAAGTGCCAGGCACTGTTTGAAGCACCTTGTATGTATTGACTAATTCAATCCCCACAATAATCCTATGTGAGGTGGGAACTCTTATTATCCCCGCTTTACTGATGGGGAAAGGCCCAGAGAGGGTAAATGCCTTGTTAGGGGTCACATCGTGGGTTAGGATGTGAACCCCGGAGTCCCCAGCCTGCAGCGTGTACTGTGCTTAAGGTGTGAGACCACATTTGGATTTGTGCTGGAAGGGAAAGGAGCAGAGTGTTATGGCAGGAAAAGGAAGGTAGTCAGGGAAAGGCAGCTGAGTAAGGATTAGGGGGATGAATGTGCCAGTCCCTCACTGCAGGATTCCGGGCAAGATGCTTCATCCTCTGTAAAGTGGAGGATGGTTACAAACCTACCAGAGAGCAGAGTTAAGGGTGAGTCACTGGTTGGTAGGTGTGCATAGTCCTTATCTAAGGCAAAAAGCATTTGAGGGACAGTGGGGGAGGGTGTCTGATATCCCAGGGGGTGGTGATGGGCTGCGGTGGGCACCATGGGGGTCTGGATTGTGGGATGTCCTAAAGGGCTTTGGGGTCCATACATTCCAGGGGGATAATGTGGAAGGTTTTGATCTGGAGTGCAGGCTAAGGGGAAGGGGGTTCCATCCAGCCCCAATTCACCCACATGGTGGGGGGCGGGGCAGTGAGCTGGGGGCTCGGAAGAGTCACTGAGGCCAGGCCATGTGTATGAAGGTGAGGTGGGGGGTACGCTGTATTGGAGACTCCAGCTAGGCCATGGCTGGCGGGAATATTTGGTGTGGGGCATGGTGGTGGCAGATGGTGGGAAAACAACCATCGGGTAGGGGCTGCCAGGGGCGGTGATTTACCCATGTCTGGTGTAGGACATGGTGATGTGGACTTGTTTTGGGGGAGCCCAGCGTGGAGGACTGTCAACTCCGGTCCTGGGGTGAGGGCTGTGAAATCTGAAATATTTGGGGAGCATAATTCGGGAGGAGGAGCCAGGGGCGGTGATGTCACACTGGAAATGGAGAGGGGGTCACCTTAGTGAAAGATGAGAGGGCTGGGGGGTTGGAAAACTGAGTGTGTGTGCACGCGCGTGTGTACTGAAGCCATGATGTCATAAGGCCGGGAAAATGGTGTCAGGTGTGTGGACCAGAGTGGGGCGCTGGGGAGTCCACCCGGAGTGCGCTAGGTGGAAGTGCTGACGTCGCGGGTTGGTAGGGGCGGGGCCTCAAAGGCACAGCACCCCGGCTGGGTTGCGGAGGTCACTAAACTGAGGCGAAGAGGAGCTGGGAGAGACGTGCGACTGGAACAAAACCAGCAACCAGGATGGGCCACTGGTCGGCGGTCACAGACCACTGGTTGGAGTCACAGAGCAAGGATGGAGGATGCAGGTAGAAGGACAGGGTCGGCAGTGGGGGCAGGGTGGGGCATGAAGGAAGGAGGGAGTGACTCGGTGCCTGGAGAATTCCAGAACTGGGGGGGAGAGGGGGGGTTCAAGGAGGGCTCTCCGAAGGGAAGAGAAGTGGAAAATGCGGGGGGGGG